AAGCTTAACGGAAGTGTGTTCTGTATTGTAATAAGTTGTTTTAATTTAATTATTCACTGTATAATTTCACTGCTCTTTGCATACAGGATGGGATGAGAAAGAGAGAAAAATCTAAGCAGGTCCCTCCTCATTAGCTGTGATAGCACTGTTTCTAAGCTCAAAGGCTGAGGTCAAACCAAGCCCAAAGTGCCCCTCTTCTTTTTGATGAGGTGCCTTTAATTTGGCTTTTTTCTAATACATTTTGACTTTTAATTTTAAAAAGGGAAATATTTATGAATCTATTACTCAAGAGCTGCCATGCAAAACATTTTAGCCTATAAATCCTGGTATTTCACTAAGCGTCAGGACTTTATTTTATGAAAGAAAAGGCACATTTCTTAACATTGTCCATAAATCATCACTAAAATATTTAGCGTGACAAGTTTCTTGGCCTTCAAAGACTCTTTTTTCTTTAAAAGCTCAACAGAAGTCTACAGGACCCATGACTGTCACTCACGGGCACACTTTCGGCTACAAAAGCATCTGCATTTTGTTTGTTAAGTGTTTACTGAGGAGATCCGCAATTCATTTTCTTTTGCAAGATGAAAATGTCAATTTTTATCCTCTAAATTCAAACTTGTAGAAAAAAGTTGAACCTATTTATGTGCCACCGCATTGTAATCTCAGCTTTGAAAAGCATCTTGGGATATGTAACATGAAAGGAGTTATTAAAGATTGAGAGTCATTTCAAGCTTTAGTAAGAAATACGGTTTGTTCATGAAAGCCAGAAATCATCTTTAAATTCATCTTTTCCCCCTACTTACCTTCCCTATGAACATGTCTTTTTTATCAGAAAGAGTCTAGCAACCCATGTAGATTTTATTTGCATTCTTATAATTGCCTGTCTTATCTACCCGCCACCCCCAGAATTCCCTTGACTCAGTTGAAATGCTGTTTCACAAATGTTAAGCACAGTGAGAACTTCAAACATGTCGCTGAAGGTCTAAGGTCACCACATCTTGCCTCTCCTCTCTTCTCTCCTTTCCTTTTCTAATTTTTCTTGATCTTTTCCCTACAAACCCTCCCAGAACAAAAAGGTCAGTGTTACAGTGCCCTGAAGATGAAAGCCTGTTTACTTGCAATTAGCAATAACTGATCAGTAATTAGTAAGTTTCTACTCTTCTCCCATACTCACTAGAAACAAACCACTTTTGTCTTTCACCACTTTCAAATGGTTTTCATTTTCCTTGTCAAAGAACCACAGGCCATGTCACCCACCTGTTTGCCCTACAACATGCCTACCTTGACACTGTTCCCACAGACATTGATGGGAAGTGGGCGGCCCATCCTGTAGGGCAAGCATGTCAGGTGTTAGGCCTACCTCCGAAGAAGGAAGCCCTGCCTAAGGAGTCTGGCCTGCCCTGACCATCGGCATGCCCTCCCGTAGGTCCATCCTCTGTGCACCCAGCCTGGCTCAGCAGCCGCCACCTCTTCTCTGTAGATCTGGAGGCATCCACACTGGTCTCCGCCATATGTCCTCTCTGTCTACCCTAGGTACACACCACAAGCTCATCCCAGAGAAAGGTCTGGGCCCTGTGACATCACACAGAGTGTGCCCAGGTATTCTCAGAAGCCATCTTTCCTCCTTCCTTGTATAATGGAATTCTCCCAGGGCGGTCTATGCTGCTCTGAACCCACCTCCTACTCCCACTGGCACATCCATCTAGGCCCATTCCTGAAGATCACCACAGCCTCTAAGCTTGGTGCCCTCCACCACATGGGCCGCTCGATGTTGCCCTGATATTGCCATTCTTTGCTGCTACATCTCAGTCCCTGATCCTGTCTCCTTTCCTAAACCCATCTGCTGTCTGTTGTCACCATAGTTTCTTGGTATCCCAAAGAACTGAGCAAGATACTCAGAAATTGAAGTGAAAGTATGTTTTTTCAGCAAAGATCAAAGATCACTAAACTCCAAGAGATGGGAGTGAGCCATTAAGAAGAGTAGAGGGCTCTGAGCAGTCAGAGTCTAGGTGGTTCTTACATGGTGGAAGATGCCCTTTGATCTGGAATGGTGTATAACTGGAATCGGGAGCAGATGTACTTTCTGCTGGAGGGAGTAGTTTTTGTCCTTATATTCCTTTTTTTTTTTTTTTTTTGTATTTTAAGGAAGGGTGTTCAGGGTCTCACTACTAGATCGGATAGTGATTCTCCTGTTTACAGCCTCCCAAGTGCTGGGATTACAGGCATGCACCACCATGCCCAGTCTCAACTGCCATCTCAGCATGCTCTGGGGGCGGGGCCAGCACAGCAGGTCTGGGGATTGAACCCCTGTCCCCTGTGCCTGCTTGCAGGCACTTTAATCCACTGAGCTATTTGGCCAGCCCTCTTATATTCACTTTTAAGGAACTATCATGGGGCTCAAAGCCCATCCGAGGGCTTTAAAACACAATGCAAATTAGTTATAATTAATTTGTAGTTACTTTGGGATACCTGAGGTATTCTGAGGGCATGCACCCTAGGTAAAGCCTAATTCAGTGTTATAAACCTTTTAGAGGGTGAGTCCCCAAACTGCAACCCCAAGCCCACATTTTTTTTAACACAGAGTACCAACAGTGCAATTAAACCAAATACTGAGGTTTTAGTTTAGAAAAAAACAAAAAGAGCTTATCAGATGCTTGGCTGCTGGGGCAACTTGGCTCAAGTGTTGACGGAAAGGGCTCTGCATGCCAGCCACAGTGCACATGCCAGAGGTCCACCACAACTGGGCCTAGTTAGAGACAGCTGCTCTTTGCAGTCTTCAGAGAGCTATCTTGGGCCCTACACATGGGCATTACGTGTGCCCCTTTGTCTTTTTCTGGGGTGACCTAGTTTCTAGAACTGGATGTGCTCTGTGGTCTTGGAGACATGGTTTCTCTTCTGCCCTCCCCTCCTCAGGTCCCCTCTGGAGACCTTTTCTTTCATCTCTTGCCGCATTGCCCTCGTGCTTCCCTCTTTCTCACTTCTCTGGCCTTCTACTCACAGCATCCTCAGCTTCCTTCCTACCACCTATCAACTGCCTCTTTTGCAGAGAAGGAGGCCTCCAAGGGAGATTTCTACAGCCAAAAGCACAATCACAACCAAAATAAGACACCTCCCCAAAACTAGAAGAACATACATTCTGTGAGAATTTCTAGTGATGCCCTACATATCATAGATCCACAAGAAGCTCAAGGAAATAACAAATTTAGTGGACTCTAAAAGGGAATGCCTGCACTCACAAAAAGCTCCCTCAGCTAGCCTGGCAGTCCACACCTGTCCCAAGCAGTCAGTGCAGTTGAAGCAGGAGGATCAAATGTTTGAGCCCTGTTTGGATAATTTAATAACTTACTGAGACCTTGTCTCAAAGTAAAAAATAAAAAAACTGGCTGAGAGTATAGCTCAGCACTGGAGCACTGGGCTCAGTCCTCTGCACCACAAAGGAAGAGCAAACACAGAACAATACCTCAGTGACTCAGCGGCAATGGGAGAAAATAACAGAAAGTACAAAGTGGGGTCTCAGCATTTTAGGGGTACTTCCAGTCTAGTGGAAGCAAAGAGATCAAATCAATTATCCTTAATGTGATTAATTATAACTAAAAAGCAATACTGGAAGGTGTTATGGCATTAAGAACAGCCATGGTCTGGTCAGGGAATAGAGCAGAGGGCAGGAGGTCAGCAGGACAGGTGAGACCAGAGCTGCATGGGCCAGGCATGGGTTAAAGCAAGGGAGAAGGGCTGGCTTAGGCCTGGGGCCTTGGACCCTGTGGACTCAGCCCAGACTGTGCAGAGATGCAGCTTCTGCCCAGGCTTCCAAAGCTGGGCTGTACACATGGCCTTCTGAACCAGCTGGAAACAACCTGGATGTCTCAGCACAAATGAGGCAAATTTTAAGGCTGGCTGGAATGGCAGTGGCTAAAGTAGAGAGCATGCTCTGTTCTGCACAGGGCAGAAGCACACAGGATGAGGTAAAGCCCCTCCCGAGGAGATCCACCATATGGAGTCACACAGAGAAGCCCTGGAGCACAGGAACTCAAAGAGCAATCTGCTCCAGGAAAGGCTCTCAGAGCTTTGGGGACCTCAGTACACGACTGAGCACAGCATCTGGGTCCCTTCCGAAGAGGCAAGAACACTTTGGAATGTGGTTGCCTACTCCAAAAACAAATCGTGGTTTTGTTTGGTTTTTTTGTTTCTGTTTTTGTTTTGTTTGCATTTTGTTTTCAGTGCTTAGAAATTGAATCCAGGGAGTTCACACTGAGCAGAATCCCCGGCACTTTTATTTTTATCATCATTATGATTTCTTTTGACACAGAGCCCTGCTAAGTCTCTAAGTTGCGCAAGCACAGCTGAGACTTATGATCCTCCTGCCTCAGCCTCCATAATGTTGAGATTATAAGCTTACAGTACCATGCCCTTTGGCAAGTATCATTCTACACATGAGAAAGCAACTCTGTGCCTGTCATCTATAAGCTAAGAATCCCAGGACAGCAACATTTTATTCTTTTTTTTTTTTTTTTTTTTTTGGTACAGGTCTACAGGATTTCACTACGTAGATTGGGTTGTAGTGATTTTCCTGGGTATGAAATCAAGGGGCTTTATCCA